CTCCCAGGCTGGGGCCGAAGGAGAGGGCACAGAAATCCTCCCTCCTCCCAAAATCCCGGCGGCACGCGGTCCACCTCCCGGCATTCCCGGCAGATCTTTGCTCCCTGGCTGGAGCTCCTCACCTCTCCAGCCACACCAGGATGCCAGGCAGGTCTCCATGCCCCGGGCAGGGATGTCTCACGCTCCAGCAGCCCAGCTCTCCCCAGCACACGCCGCCTCCCTGCTCTGCAAACCTCCGGCTCCATCCAAGCAGGCGCTGAAGCTGCGGCTGATCTCACCCATGTCCCTGCGGCCCCGCAGCATGGAAAGAGCTTTGTCCGGGGATTCTGCAAGCCTGACAGCGACCACCTCCCAGCAAGCCAAGCCAAGCATGCAACAAAGCCCCGTGAGAGGCGGCCTTGCTCTGGATGCCCTCGGAGAAGAGGCTGTGGAGCAGCGAGCGGCTCCTCGCGAGCGCCGCATCGCTGCCGGGCAGCTGGAGCATCCCGGGAGCCATCAACCCACGGCAGAACTAATGGGTTGTGGCATCTGGGATGACCCTAAACACCTCCCCAGACCAGCCTGGGGTGTCCCTGACACAGCCCGTGGGTTCTGGGCACTGAGGTCAGCACAGGGCTCTGGTGGCTCCCCTTTCCTGGGGGATCTCCCAGGAGAAGCCACGCTATCAAACGAGGTTCTGTCTACAGGAGGGATTGCTTTGCAACCCCCGTGGCATCATCTTTTCCCTCGCTCTCTTTCTCCTCCCCTCCTCTTCTGTTGTATTTGCAGGGATCCCCGTGGCAGGGAGGACTGATGAATCTGATTCCATGTTCTCAGAAGGCTAATTTGTTATTTTATAATATTATAGTATATTAAAGAATACTATGCTATACTATACTAAAGAATACAGAAAGGATATTTACTCAATGCTAAAAAGATAATAATGAAAACTCCAGACTCTTTCCAGAGTCTTGGCACAGCTTGGCCCTGATTGGCCAAAGAGTGAAAACAACTCACAGCAGAATCCAGTGAAACAATCACCTGTGGGTAAACAATCTCCAAACACATTCCAAAGCAGCAAAACACAGGAGAAGCGAGTGAGACAAGAATTGTTCTCCTTTTTCTCTGAGGCTTCTCAGCTTCTCAGGAGAAGCTCCTTTTTCAGGAGAAAAATCCTGAGCGAAAGAATTTTTCAGAGAATGCGAATGCCGCATTCTCCAGCACCGCTTTTTTATCACCAGCCCGATCTGTTCTGAGCGGAGCCGCAGAGCCGGCGCTGGCTCCCGCCTCCCCTGGGGCACACGAGGTGCAGGGAGCGAGCAAAGTGCCGTTCCCGGGGCACCGGGCAGTGCTGGCACAGGCCACCGGGTCACTGAGACATCGTCTGGTGCTCTGGGGATGGAGCTGCTCCTCCCCGGGCTCTGAGCAGAGACACGGGCAGGGGGAACCGCCTGGCCGGGGAAGGAAATGAGGATATTCATTTCTGAGCCAACCTGGTTAACTATTTCTGTATTTCTGTCTGGCAGCGCAAAGGAAAGGGCTGGGCAGAGCCCTGAGCAAAGCCATTGTCACCGTCAGGAAAAAAAAAAAATACAATAAAGTAAAAAAAGATGATAGAAACGTGCCTGGAGGAATTTGGCTCGGGTTCGCGTTTGAACCGGCTTCAGGTTTCCGAAGCAGAGGTTTCCGGATGCACGGCGGGTGTTCTCTGGGGCTGTAGGTAGGGAACAGGGTTTGGGGTCGTGGGTTAACCCTGCCTCGATCCAGAAGGGATGGGAGCACCCAGAGGTGCTCAGGGCTGGGCTGGCAGTGATGCCTCGCCCCAGTGGGCGTCGAGCCCCATTTCAGGGCTGTTTTCCCGTGATTTTGCCCATTTCCATCCCACCGTTGGTGCCATCAGAGGCTCGCTGCCCCCTGCCCTGTGTTTGAAGGCGTTTCACACCAAGCAGAGACTTGCACAGCTCCCAGCCAGTTTAAAAGGGGGTGAAAAAGGGTCAGAAATAACAACGCAAAGCAGGAACGCGGCCTCAGAGGTGCCGAGCTCCCTCAATCTGCCAAAACAGACCTGATCTCTGGGGAAATGGGGATTCTGGGTGTAAACCCCTCAGAAAATAGGGTCTTGTGACCTCACCACTGTCCTGGCTCCTGTGGAGCAGCTGGTGCCACCCTGTCACCCCGCTGTGATGGTGACAGGGCCCAGCTGGTGTTGGCACCTCCCGGGGATGACGAGAGGGGACGAGGCTGTGCAGTGTCATTAGTGATCAGGGTGATGGGACTGAGTCTGGGGGAAGCTGGGGAGCACTGCTGCTCTGTGTTGCTCACAGACATGCCAAAAATACTCCATGGAAGGACAAGATGCAGCCAGAAGAATTTCAAGCGGATAGGAAATCAAAGTCTCCCTGGCACGGGGAGCTGGTGGCATCTGCGCCTCCTGAGGGACCTCCAGCCTCTGCTGGCCTGGGATTGCCAAAATCACCCTCAGATCCTCACCTTGCTCAGCTTTTCCCACACCTCTACACCCACTGGAGCCAGGAAAAGTTGGCATCCACCTCCAGAGGATGGAGAAGGAGCAAAAAGTCAAACTGCACAAGAAAGAGAGCGTGCAGCTCTTAGAGGAGCAATTCTGACCTGCTCGAGGGCTTGGCGTGTCCTTATAAAGTCACTTCATCCCTCAGGGACAGCTCAGGGTGGGACACAGGGTCCTCACCTTCTGAGGAGGCAGCCAGAGAAACAGTGGCACAACCTACAGCACCAAAAAATGGGAGAGGCAGGGAGATAAATTACTCCAGCAAAGTTTATTCCCATGTGCCTTAATTAATTTATAGCATGGGGCTGCTCCTTTTCTATCCATGTTCCCTGTCTTTTACTGCCACAGCCCCAGGTTGCAACGTGCAGAAATGCCACAAAAACTCCTTTATTTTCCCTTCTCCTGGCAGCAAGGAGCAGAAACCACGTGGATGTTCACGGCTGGTCACCACAATCTCCAAGGGACAGAGCGGGTCAAAGGGAGCTGGGCAGCCTCAAAACTGACCTTTGGGTGAGTTTTGGGTGAGCACTGGGTGGAAGAACTCCAGCCAGGCTGTAAATGACAGGAGAAGAGGGTTTTCCCCAGCACTGGGATCAATCAGGAATACGGTGCACACCATCTTGCTGGGGAAGGAGGGGTTTCCTTGTGACACACACACAAATAAAACCTTCCTGGTATTTTGGTCTTGGACAAGACCCAAGGATTGTCTGGGAAATGGCTCTCCCAGCTTGCAGGAGGTGCAGATTCCCCATCTGCCTCATGGCCCTTTTCCCGTTCCCATTGTCTGGAGCTGGGATTTCCTCCCTCTGCCTCTCTAAGGAAGCTTTGGACACAGGGCAGGTGCCCTCCTGTGGCATTGCAAGGAAATTTGGGGGAAAGGAGAAGGTGCCTGTGGCCTCCCAGGATTTAAGGGACTCTGTTTCCCTTTGCGGGGGGTCATGGAATGTTTGCTCTCCTCCCACCAGGAGAGGACACAGCTCTCTGCCATCAAGCAGAGCTTAAATAAATCCATTCAGCCCAGCTCCTGTGCTTGGGAGAGATGGGAAGGGCTTTTTGGGGTGGGAGGAGATGATGGAGGGAGGAATGCTCTCCCAGACCATGAACAAGGGGGGTCAGGAGCTCCTTCCAGCCCCCCTGTCCAGGAAAACCTTTGGACAAACACTGGTGGCAACTAAATCTGCAGAGATCTGGAGGTAGAAGGGACACAGCTCAGGGTCATGCATCAGCCACGAGGAAAATCTGTAGGATTGTGAAGGATGGGACAATAAAAAGCTGTGGAACTTCAACAGCATCTCCCCATGAGGTCCATCTCAGGAGCTTGAGATGGGGATGAAGGATCCAAGTTAGAGATCCCACCCCAGAGGAGCATCCTGGGGGTTTGGTAACCAAAGGAGAGTTTTCTCTCAAGGAAGGTTGGCCAAGAAGATGAGGCCACCTAGGAGCAGGTTCAGCTCCCACTGGCGTGGTGCTGCCAAGCCACAGGCTCCCCCTGCCTCAGTTTCCCCAGCTGCACAGGAGGGAACAAAGCCTTTGCAAGGTGTTTGGGATGTGAAGATGAAAAGGGCGCTCACAGCCTTGGATCTTATTTCAAAAACAAGCCAAAAGCACTTTCCAGAGAAGAAAAATTTATCACGGATTAGAAACACCAGTTGCAAATCCACATCTGCTGCTGGGATGAGCCCCCCTGGCTGCTGCTCTCCAGCTGTGCCCGGCCTCACAGCCCAGCTCAGGATGCAGGAGCAGGGGGATCTAAGCTGATGATCCCAAAGCCAGGAGGATGCAGATCCCGAAGTTTGCAGAAACCTCAGGAATGGAACACAGAAGCAGCAGGAAAATCAGAATCTGGTGCTCCTTCCCCCAGCTCGGGTGGTCTGAGATAAGAGGAGGTTTGGGATGGGCAGGAGGTCCCAGAGCTCAGAGGGGCTTCACAGAATCCCAGAATGGTTTGGGGTGGAAGAGACCTTAAGGATCAACCTCATTCCACCGCATGGCAGGGACACTTCCACTGTCCCAGGCTGCTCCAACCCCATCCAACCTGGCCTTGGGCACTTCCAGGGATCCAGGGGCAGCCACAGCTGCTCTGGGAATTCCATCCCAGCCCCTCCCCACCCTCACAGGGAAGAATTCTTTCCTTTTTCCATGGGGAAAAAAAGCTAAACCACGGCTGGTTTCACCCCAAACTGCCCGGACGTGGATTTGCAGTGCCCTGCGTGCCGGGGGATGATTCACTCCAGCAAAGCCTGCACAAACCGATGCCAAATAGGGATGTAGCGGCTCTCACCCCGGCAGCCAAGGCACCACAGGAACACTCAGTCTCAGCAAACGCATTTCCCACCCTAATAACTGGGAAAGGGCAGAAAACGAGGAGCGGGGTGGGAGCAGAGCGGGGCGCAGCACAGGGAGGGGATCTGCGACGCGCCGAGCTGAAAAACCACCGGCAAAACGAGGAGGAGGGAGAGCAGAACAAAACAAAACAAACACGAAAGTAACATACGGAGAAGAGCTGGGCTCGGTCCTTCCCAAAACTGTCCCATCCTGGCCAGCTGCGGATCCCTGGATCCCCGTCCGGGGCCGCTCCCAGCGCCGCTCTCCTCCCTCCCACCCGCGCTCTGACGTGGAGACGGGAAAACTCCTCTGGATCTGCTGGATCTGCACCCCGGCAGACAGCAAGGATTCCTTGCCTTCCCCCCTCGGTGTTTTTGGATTTTCCTTCTCAGCCCGAATGAAAAACGCCATAAAAAAAAAAAAAAAAAAAAAAAAAAAAAAAAAAAAAAAAAAAAAAAAAAAAAAAAAAAAAAAAAAAAAAAAAAAAAAAGGAGAGCGCGATGAATTCAACTCGCTCGCGCTGACGGAGCGGTGTTTATGGAAAAAAAAAAATCAAATAATTCAAATAGTCGGAGGGTTTAGGGCTAAAAATAGCAAAAAGAGCTCCTCGGAGCAGGAGAGGAAGGCGGGAAGCGGAGGTGCTGCGGCAGGATAAGAATGTTTCCTTCTTGTTTGGGATTTCTTTTCCTTTCTGCTCCAAACCTGGTGGAAAGTTGGCCACAAACTCTCCCTGTCCTTAAACACTGCAGCACCACCAAAAAATTCATTTATCCCCCACAGTTTTTATGCCCAAAACACTGCCCGTTGCTGAAATTTTGTATTTTAGTGGTTTTTGTTGACCTGAGGCTCCTATCCCAACCACGTTTTGCAGGGCAGGGGGAACAGCTGGAAGGAAAAACAGCTGGAAGAGGACAGAGGGACACTCTCCTCCTTCCCCAGCCCCTCCTGCTCTCTGCCAGAGGGATTTATTTTTTTTTATCTTCTCCCCCCTGTGCACATCCCTGCTGCAGAGATGGGGATGCTGCCCCTGACTCAAAGCCACGAACAGGGATTAAATAATTGCCACAACCTTTGGCACGCTGTCGTCTGTTCCTCCCCGTTGCCAACCCGCATGATTTTATGGCTGACCTCACAAAAATTGATGTTTTCCTTAAAGGCCCCGAGTTGTGAGGGGAGATTTGGCTTCCAGGAGTCCAAGTCAGTGAGGTTTTGCTCGCTGCAGTTAAAGAAAACCCCCAAAACTGAACAAATTTGGCATGAAGAAGGCCCTAAACCTTTAAAATCTGGTGGCTCTTCCTCTCTTAAACCTCAGCATGTCCTGAGCAGCTCCCACCGTGTGAAACTCCTCAAAATAAACTTGTTTTTCCTGGTTTGAAGGAAATTTTAAGAGATGTCCTTGCTCCTCAGAACAGCCGGGATGGGGCAGCCAAGTTTTCATCCCCTGATTTAATTTGTCAAGCGTGTTTTCTGCTCTGCAGCTGCTTTGGGGGAGGAACAAGCTGGGAGCAGCCTGGCTGACTCTGCAGGATTTATGTGATCCCAGGAGGAGCTTTCCAGAGGAAATCAGCTCCTGGATGCTCCAGGGATGGAGGAGGAGGAGGGAGGAGAGAGGAAGCACCACAGCACTTGCTCCTGCAGCTCAGTCACGAGCCCAAAGTTCAGCCCAAATCCGAGGATTTCGAGGAATTTTGGGCAAGAAAATGTATAGGGAAATCATTTTCGTAACCACACAGCTCAAAAATAACTTTAAATATGCTCCTAAAAAAAAATATCTCAGCCCTGCTCTGTATCAGACTCTGAGCAAACTAAAATAAAAGGGGTCCGAGCAAAATCCTGGATTCAAATGTTAAGGGATTCTCCAGACCCCAAGTGAAGTTGGTTTTCTGTATCTTATGCAAATATTTAATGCAAAACATTTTGCCAGCTTAGGAAGGAATTGTCATTTTCATGGCTCTCAATGCTGCCTTTATGCACGCAATATATAAAATATTATAAATACACAATATTTTATAAGGATCAATAAAGCAGTGACATGGCCTCCTGGGGTGAGGAACTTCATTTCCCTCCCAATTTTTTGCTCCCAAATCCACAATCCCCTCCCTGTCAGTGCCCCCCAACAGAGACCCATTCTGGTTAGGAGGTGACAATGAAAAAAACCATAGCAAACATTAAAAAAAAGCCCCATAAAAACATTTAAAAAGTAAAACAAAATTTAGGAGGTTACAATGAAAAAAACCATAGCAAACATTAAAAAAAAAAAAAACCATAAAAACATTTAAAAAGTAAAAGAAAATAAAACTTAGATAGATAATGAGATGTCCACAAGAGCAGTTCCCACTGCTGAGAATTTTACCTTATGTAGTCCTTTTCTGTATTTTTGTTAAGGTTTAAAAGGTTAATAAACCTTTTAAATTTTCAAAGTGAGCGGTTGTTTCTCACAGCATTAAAAAGAATTTACCCATCATTATAAAAAAAGCCCTATAATAACAACTTCAAACCTTAAGATCCTACAAAAGAAGTTACATCAACTTTATTTCTACCTCAACTTACCTCAAAAATAACCTTAAAACAATTAAACTAATTAGAGTATTAGCTAAATATTTAAAAAATCAATACTACTGCCATTACAATTAACAACACAATAATTATGTTATGTCATGTCAAAATAACAAATTATTGTGTTATATCATAATAAAAAATTATTATAGCATAATAACAAATTATGTTATGTAATAATAACAAATTATGTTATATCATCATAAGAAATTTATGAGTTATGCCATAATAACAAATTATTATGTGATATCATAATAACAAATTTATGAGTTATGCCATAATAACTAATTATGCCATAATAACAAATTATGCTATAATAACAAATTATTATGTTGTCATAATAACACATTATTATGCTATGTTATGTCAAAATAACAAATTATTATATTATGCTATATAATAGTAATAAATTATTATGTTATGCCATAATACCAAATTATGTTGTTATATCATAGTAACAAATTTTTATGTTGTTATATCATAATAACACATTATCAGGTTATATTATGTCAAAATAACAAATTATGTTATGCTATATTATAATAAATTATGTTATGTTATAGTAACAAATTATGTTGTGCTATGCCATAATAACAAATTATTGTGTTATGCTATCTCATAATAACAAATTGTTACATCATAATAACGAATTATTATGTTATGCCATAACAAATTATTATGTTATGTTATAATAACATAACATAATAATAATAACATAGATTTCTATGTTATATCACAACACCAAATTATTATGTTATGTTATAATAGCAGATTATGTTATATCACAACACCAAATGATTATGTTATAATAACAGATTGCTATATCACAATACCATATTATTATGTTATGTTATAATAGCAGATTGCTATGTTATATCACAATACCATATTATTATGTTAGGTTATAATAGCAGATTGCTATGTTCTATCACAATACCAAGTTATTATGTTATGTTATATCACAATACCACATTACTATGCTATATCACAACACCAAATTATTACATTATGTTATATCACAATACCACATTATGTTATGTTATAATAGCAGATTGCTACATTATATCACAATACCATATTATTATGTTATGTTATGTTATAATAGCAGATTGCTATGTTATATCACAATACCAAACGATGATGTTCTATCACAGTACCACATTACTAAGCTATATCCCAACACCAAATTATGTTATATCACAATACCACATTACTATGCTGTATCCCAGCACCAAATGATGATGTTATATTAAAATACCACATTACTATGCTATATCACAGCACCAAATGATGATGTTGTATCACAGTACCACATTACTATGCTATATCCCAATACCACATTACTATGCTGTATCCCAACACCAAATTATTATGTTATATCACAATACCACATTACTATCCTGTATCCCAACACCAAATTATTATGTTATATCACAATACCACATTACTGTGCTGTATCCCAGCACCAAATGATGATGCTGTATCACAGTACCACATTACTAAGCTATATCCCAATACCACATTACTGTGCTATATCCCAACACCAAATGATGACGTTATATCACAATACCATATTATTATGCTATGTCACAGCACCAAACGCCGTTCTGTCACAAGCAGCAGCGCTCATGCCCCCCGAGCCGTACCTGTCCCAGGCAGGAATCGGAGCCGGCGGAGCCGCGGGCGCTCAGCGCATTCCCGGAGCGCGGGCTGGGCACGGAGAGCCCCGGGCAGCCCCAGCTCAGCCCTGCAACAAAGCCAAGGAGGAGCCATCAGCTCTCGCCGGGCATCTCTGCCAGGCACAATACGGCAGCAGTGTCACTGTGCCCTCAATGGCACCATTGTCCCCTCCCGGCCACGCTCCTGCGGCTGGTGGCACTGGGAGAAGCTGCTGCTCCTCGGACAGTGCTGGATTAAGGGGGGGTTTTTGACTTAGAGTAATTGAGAAGTGTTTTTAAAACTTTTATTTTAGTCTTAGAGCAATTGAGAAGTGCTTTAAAAAATATTATTTTTAGTTTTAGGTGAAGAGTAAGATAATGCAGATGTTATAATTTATTATAATCAGAAACTGTTTTTAATTACAAGTGTTTCTCTGCTTTTAACACACTATACTATAAATCATTTAAAACTAATCATCTAAAATTACTTCCTATGAGTTCTCCTATATGTAGATTTTATAGCTCTATTTCTCTAAAATATCTAGTCTCATTTACAAAACCATCCTTTAAAACTTGTTTCTAATTCCAGTTCTCTCTCAACAATATCTATCCTATTCTATAATGTTTCTAAATTGACATTTCTTGTCTCAAAATTTACATACAAATATATACTATGTAAACCTTCTATCAAACTTTAAAAATTTCCTACAAATTCCTACAAAAGAGCTCCTGAAAGGCTTCATGCCACCGCTGGAGAAGAGCAGGAGGCTTGGTTTTGAATCCCAGTTTTGCCTTGACAGCAGCACTGGGGTGAGGTTCCTCCAGGAGAGGAAGGAAATGGGATCTTGGGGGAAATAAATCGGAATTGGGAGGATTGGGGTGAGAACAGGAGGTCACAGCTCACTGATCAAACAGTGGGATGCTCCCAGGGGGATCCTGTTGGGATCCTTGCAGGAGTTTGCATCTGGATGCTGCCTCCAGGGGAAGAGGAGCTGGAGGAATCTTAGAATCCCAGATGGTTTGGGTTGGAAATTACCTAAAAGC